AACGGACGGAAAAACCAAAACACCAATTGGTGACTCGAGGATTCTTTATTGTTACACCAACATATAAACAATGTTACAACTAAGGTCTGTGAACAAATATTACAATAATGAATCACAATATTACTTCTGACGGTTTATTGCTGACTTCTTTCTGAACAGCGACCGATGAGACGATGACTGTCGTATTGATGCCTCCGCGAAAATTGGGGAAGTTGGTTTGAGCAAACAACCATGAATTGATCGTTCAATCTTCAACTCCATTGACACTCCCCGGCAAAATACGGATCCATCCCTTTTTTCCTTCACGACCAATGCACGTCGACTTGGATGCCATTGCGAGAACCTGGGTCACACGGACAGAGCTGAAATGGAAAACAAACAGAAAAGCCAACACACCACAAGCATACCCACAGCACAATCTCACACATCAATGACGACCTGCGCGTCCAGACAGAGACCTCCTCTTGACATCTTGCAACACAATCGCCATTTGCTAGAATGACTCTTGTAGAATGCAAAGTGACCATGGCAGGACCTCACGATACTCCACGCACATCCTCTTATCTATTCACCACCAATTACCACTGCAATCGCTTGTCACTCATTCTGCCTCAGTTCTAGTAACGGTGACGTATGCAAGCCTCAGCCGTCTACACTCCCGCTCCCCGGCGTGTCGGACCACAGCTAACAATTATCTCCGTGTGCATTTCATTCTCACCAATAGCCTCCCCGGCGTATACGACCCATCTGCTGTCCTTAGCATCAATCAATTCATTCACGGATGTGGAAGACTCGAAATAACTTCAGAAGCAATCACGACGAAAATTTTAACAAAATTATGCAATAAAAACAAGGTACGAAAACAAGGAGTAAACACAATGAATCCAAAAAACACCAATTGATATGACACACCACACATATATATAAACAGTACACACAAACTCGCAGTTCATGTCTTGATGGAATTCCTTTGAAGAATCTCAGGACTTACACCAGTACGCCTACAACCCTTCTCAGGTTGACGATTGTAAGTTGTGGAATGTCCGGACACAAACAAGATTAACCAACAATTACATCAATTGGAACTCACACAACTATTTAACACATACATATGTACAATCAACGCATCAAATGTTGTGGATTCTGGTATGACAAACTACACTCGAAGAACTGTAGGACTTACACCAGTACGCCTACATTCCTTCTCAGGTTATAATAATAATAATAATAATAATAGTATATTCTCATTTTGTACATGAGAGACGCCAGTTTACAGGCATCATCAATATGATAAATTACATATACGATTAGCAATCATAATTAATAATAATGTTTTAATAAAGTACACATTTTTCCCTACTTGTGTAGGACACACCAAATATACAGGCATGGATAAGCATTAATTAAATTTCATAAATTCGGTTTATGGTTAAGTTACATGGTTGCTGGCGTTTTTGTTTTAATAATAATTATAATAATGTATATTCTCATATAAACATATAAATTTACATGAAAATGCATACCATTTTTTTAGGTCTGTGGGAACAATATGATAACCAGTCATTCAATGGAGCACATCATGAAATATAGGAATATTGACTTCGCATTAACAAAAAAACCCAAGTAAGTTTTGGATGGATTAAAAATACTTGGGAAAAAATAAAGCTTGAAGTTATTCCACAATATAACAAGTCATTCAATGGAGCACATCATGAAATATAGGAATATTGACTTCGCATTAACAAAAAAACCCAAGTAAGTTTTGGATGGATTAAAAATACTTGGGAAAAAATAAAGCTTGAAGTAATTCCTCAATATAACCTGGGTGTGTACAAATCCGAATCTCATTTTTGATTTGATTTATATCCAAATTGGGTAATAAGGAAGCTATTTTTACAGATACGATCAGTTATGTTATAAGTACAATCGTGACGTTGTATTACAAATAGATACTTTTCCATTGGTATAAGAGTATATTCCACAAATGTAATCCAGGTTGCGTCGTGGAGAAAGTTAATTCGTTATTAACCAGGCAACTGAAAGATACGGGACCAATAATGTTTGCAGATCATTTGTCATTGTAAATGGTCAAATATCCACATTATTCATTCTCATTCAAAAAGTCAAATGGAAGCTGAAATGGTGAGAGAAAAAAGAAGACAAACAACAGCAACGCAAAAGAAAGCAACGGGAGTCCTTAAGGAGTGATTAATAAATATATACACATATATTCTGTTTAGTAACTGTGGTTATTTTGGTACACAAACTAACTAGTCCCGTTATGCTAACTTTTATATTATGTGTGAACTAATATTACTGTCCTGTGTAGAAATGTTAATCATCTAGTTCCAATAATATTAAAATTTATAATTGTAGTTTGCTGTAACTACACGTTTAAACAACTTAAAATATCTATGTAGGGTGAAAAAGAGGGTGTAAGAGTCAGACGTATAAGTGCATTGTCATCTTTGAGCAGTCTGGTGACTGAGGAGATGAACACTGGAAGTGTGTTTGCATCGCGCACATTAGCTGGTAGTCTATTCCAAATGACTGAAAACTTATTTAAGAAGAAGTTGTACCGCACGTAAGTCTGACAGTGCTCCATAGCAGCTAGGTTGTGATGATTTCTAAGATTGTAACTGACGACAGCGGTAGGTTTAGTTATTGGCTCGGAGGAATGCAAGAGAAGATTAGTTAGCTTATAGTAAAAGATTAGGTTTAGCTTAAGGCGTCTTTTCCAGAGGGGTTCTAATCTTAGTCTTACGCATCTCTCATGGTATTCCAGACTACTTTCTAAACCAAGAGTTCTTGAGGTAAACTGCCGTTGCACTCCCTCTAATTTAAGCTTGTCATTTTGTCTTAGTCCGCTAAGAATAAACGGGCAGTATTCTAAGATAGGTCGGACACATACTTTGTATAATAAAACCCTAGTTTCACAACAAAAGAAATTGCGTGTTATGCATCCTATCAGCCTTCGCGTTTTACGTCTGGCATAATCAGTCTGTTCAGCGAACGTTAGGTTACTAGAGTATCTAATACCGAGATCTACGACTGAATTGAGCTTAGCTAGTTTTCGCCCATTTATTTCAAGGTTTAGATCAAGCTTACTGTTGCCGATACAAATCCAGCCGCATTTGTCAATGTTAAAATTTAGGCAGGATTCAGCACACCACGTTGCAAGGCTACTTAGTTCAAGATGTATTTTATCTACCATATCGCTTAATTCATGAGTGTAGCAGGAGTAGACGACTTTGAGGTCGTCAGCATATAGGAATGGTTTACCTGAGGTGAAGCACTTGCAAATGCTGTTAATGTAAACTGTGAATAAAAGTGGACCTAGGACACTACCTTGCACGACCCCACTTGAGATCTGCCTAGGATGAGACAATACAGATCCAACTTTGGTTATTTGTACCCTGTTGCTTAGAAATGATTTTAACCAGTTCAGTAATGGGTTGCGAATTCCACAAGAGTACAGCTTCTCAAAGAGAATACTGTGAGATACCATGTCAAATGCCCTAGATATATCGAAGTAGAGAACAACGACTAGCTTACGTGCTTCGCGATTACTAGTGATGCAGTTGAAAAAGTCGAAGTGGCAAGTAACGCAGGATCTATTTTTGAGAAATCCGTGTTGAGACCTTGTAACAAGATCCTCCCTAATTAGGTAGTCTGACAATTGATCCTTTACAACTTTCTCCATGATTCGTGAGATAACTGGGGTTATATTTATGGGTCTGTAATTGCGGACGTTTGCCCTATCACCAGATTTGTAATGTGGAATTATGAAGCTAGTTTTCCACTCACTAGGGTAAGTGCCAGTGTCCATAGATATTGAGAAGAATTTAAGAAGTAACAGGGTATATCACACCCACTGTTTTTGAAAATTATCGAAGCGAGGCCATCCGGTCCCGTACTAGTGGAAGGTTTAAGGCTTTTAATTGCTTGTACTATTAACTGATTAGTGAACACAATGCTTTCAAGGGAAGAGATAGTAAGGGGAGCGGTTTCACCAGGCATATGTGTTTCTAAACTAAAGTTTGCAAACCAATCACTGAAAGTTCACAGATAGTGGCAGGTTCATTGTAGATTACTTTGTCGTGAAGTAAGTATGGGATTTCCCTCGCTGACTGCATTCGTTTTTTAAGAAGTGCCGTTAAGTTATAAACTTTGGAGGTACTTTCAAGTGCCGTTAACTCTTCGTCGAGGTCCTTTTGAGAACGTAGGCGCTTGATAGATTCAAGAGACTCGTGGATTGAGAGCAATAGTGATATGTCCTTAGTGGAATAGTACTGTTTCTTCAGTTTCCTTAACTTATTACGGTGTGCCCTTGGAATATATTCAGTTCGGTGTCTACTTAATTTCACTATTTTATTTGGGGCAACTGTATCTAGACAAAGGGTAACATTCCTGTAAAACAGGGTTACTAAGGCCTCCAGGGAGTCAGTGGTAAAATAGTCATCCCATTGACAGAGTCGAATAAGTTCTTGGACTAATCCCCAGTCTGTATATTTGTAACTACGACATATTGTGCTTCCTGAGTCTTGTTTGTTTCCTGTATTTAGTGGTGAGAAAGGCAGAGAGCAGAGTACCATTCTATGGTCACTACTGGAAAATCTATTACCAACATAAGTGGATACTGGGATTGTGTCATGACAAAAAACAAGGTCCAAATGTTGTCCCCACGAGTAGGTGTCTGGACGTGTTGTTGCCATCCATAACAGTCTATAGTGGCAAGTAATTCGTCGAAGCGTTGGGGGCCGGAACTAGTTAGCCAATTGACTTCTGGAAGATTGAAGTCCCCTGCAATTATTTTGTAATTAGCACTAAACGAGGATGCATGTGCAAACGATTTAGCTAATAACGCATCAGTTTCTTTTGTTGCGCTTGGTGCTCGATAAACACAGCCTATGAGAAGTTTGTACTTATCTCCATGTAAGACAACCCAGAGTGAGTCAGGTACATTATTCATTGTTTCATCTTCCACCTTACTGACTACAAATGAGTTATGTATATATATGAGACATCCTCCACCACGCTTGCAATCTCTGTTTGCACGGTGTACAGTGTAATCATCGATACCTATATGCACATCAAGTACTGAGGATGAGCACCATGACTCAGTAATCAGAGCTACAGTAGGCTTGGCGACTAATAATAATGTCCTTAGTTCAGATATCTTATTGATTAAGGAACGTGCATTAATTAGCAATATCGTGAATAAGTCACGGGATACTACAAACTGGCTTAAAATGTCACCATAACCTAAATCTATTTGTGCGTCAGCACCGCAAGAATTTATGAATGAAAAGGAGGTCGGACTGGGTGTCTGCACATCGGAGTTGGTGTGCAATGAGGTGGTCCTAGGTGCCATGGGTCGTACCAGTGATTCAGGACACCTGGAAAATTTACCATGTGTTCCTGGATATAAGGGTAGTACAGGTTGGGCCTAGGTTGACGGTTAAAAGGCATAGCATCAGAAGGTCTACCCATCCAACTGCTATTCGTCATACCGGTATACACCTTCGGGTTGTTTTTATAACTTAAAGGGAATTGTGAAGGAAGGTGCTTTGGCTGCAAGACTTTAGGAGTCTTGGAGCCTGACTTTCTATAAGGTGGAGCATGCGGAACACCTCCAGATGTACTTATGTTTCGAGAGGAGTTTTTCGTAACAAGTGATGGTTTGTTGGCATTCTTACTCTCAGCAGGCTTATTGAATACAAAGTATTCTTCCCCATCATTAGTCTCAACCCTGCGAAATTTGTTCATCGTGGTGAGGTTACTACGTTTGGGGGGAAATTTCTTAGAACAACTTGCAGAAGTTCTAGTCATTTTAACATCTTTCGATGAGGCTTTGTTTACAGGGGTACTGGTATCTAAATCAGTTCCTAGTTCCATTGGCAGGTGTGGTTGTTGTGTAGTTTGCTGAATGCTAGTTTCAGCACTAGGTGTCTGTTGCTGTGCACGATCCTTATTTGGTAAATCAAAGCTAGAGCTAGAGGAGGTGACCAGGTTATTACTACGCATTATTCTGCGCTGACACGGTGTTTTATCCTGAGCTACGGTTATAGACTTATAACTGCTATTCAGTCTTAAGTGATCCTGACATTTAGTAAACTTACTAGCATCAAGGGAATTACTGAATTTAAAAATGATTGGGCAATTAGCCTGGTTAGACTTTTTACGAAGTCGTTTGCATTCACATGGAACACTAGCCATGCCGCAACAAATCAGGATTTTGTGTCTTACAGTTTTCAGGGGCAGAGAATCTGGGACGTTGTAAACTATAGCTTGGTGAGAAGAGGTTATACGCTTCATCACCTCCGTAGCCAAGCAGTCAATCAGATTTTCAGCTTTATTTAGGTTGTCTGGAGATATTTTAGGATGCCTTTCTAAAAGACAGGCTATTGGGTCTAAATTCAAAAGCTTATTTTGAGTTACATCCAGTAAACACTTAACCTGGCCAATATCAGAACGGCTCTCCGTGGTATTTGAGATTGGCAGTGACATACTATCAAACTGATCTAATTTTTTCTGAATTTCACTTACTTGCCTCTGCATATCTTTCAAAAGGAGGTTTAGTTTACAGAACTCAGAGTTCTCTAACAGAACATCTTTCACCTGTATCACAGGAGTGAGATCTGCACTCAAACCATTTTGAGAGCTAGTAGTTGATACTGTATTACGAGGCGGTAATGCAGTTATAACCGAATTTAAGCCACTATCTAAAACAATTGTGTTTCTACGAACACGTTTTTTAGAGATTTGGACCATAATTTCAAGAATTATATGACAATAAGCAGTAAATAAATTTCAGAGCAAACACGTGCAAAAATGTCACCAATTTCGAACGTACCGCCTAGTGTGAATGATCCAAGTGGAAGTCGTCCGGACACAAACAGAATTACCAACAGCTAGATGACAGGTGATATCAATTCAGTATATACAATATGAACATATGTACAAAATCACATACCGAGCACATTGGACTGCTCATTGATGCGCTACCCTTTGAAGAACTGTAGGACTTACACCAGTACGCCTACAACTCTTCTCAGGTTGACGCCCTAGGTTGGAAAATCGTTGCAGAGTTCATTTGCTGACTTCCTTCTATCAGCTATATCCTCAAATCTGAACGGCAACACGCCCATGTCATTGTATCGTAGAATATAGATGACGAACAAACACACGACATATCTCATCAACCTAGTGTAGAAAGAGAGTAATTTACACCAAAGATAATAACATTCAAATAGTAACTTGAAACTAGAAATGCCTTTGTTCGTGCACGTCAGTTTAACAATTACTCTCTCGTTTACACTTGGCTTATCCTCACTAAACTGACAAATATCTCTCGTATTTTCAAACGCACCAATACTATCATAGTCATTGCACAAGATAGTTGAGTTGATGGGCGTATTTTTCATTGTGGATGACAGCACCAACGACGACTGATTGATACCAGTTGATGAAGTTAGCGGTGGATCAAAAGCTGTTATTGCTCGGCTTTCAGAAATTCGTCTACCTGCAAGACCACCACCACTGCTGTCTTTTACTATCAGCTCAGGTTTAGCAATAGCATCTGATGATAGGGGGGCTACATGCTGATCAATCACAATGACGGTCTCACAAGTATTCATACCTTCTGCGACTGCATCTGCATTTATTTCTACTTCATGTTGTAGCGGTATAGAACCTTTAATTAACTTAGCGGTAGTAGGCATATCCCTCATCTCATCATGATCAACCAAAGACAAATCTGCACTAGCATGATCCTTATCACAAATATACAATTTACCGTCAAGTTCATCATTTTCAAACTCTTTAATAACAGAAGTAGACAATTTTGGTTCCTTCTCACAAATCCCCAAAGATTTTATACCTTCACTCTGACTAGTATTACCTTGTAAACTTGTAGGGTCAGAACTGCACTCTGAAGCAGCAACTCTATTCTGTGACACTTTATTCAACAACGGCTTACCAGTTGCAACTACAGACTTCTTCACCGCACCGTTATCGTCACACAATTTGGAGTCAGGCCTGGAGTTTACATTTAGCTTATCACTGAACTTGCTCACTGGTTCACAGCTCACCTTTGTATGCACCACTTGAAAACGTGTAAAACACAACTGTGTTTGTCTTCCACCCTGTATTTTATCTGTTGAGTTTGTACTACGAAACCTGTTACACTCACTAGGTCTATATGCATTACTGGACATCATAGAGCCTTCTCGATAACCACCTCTCTGAGACCCTTTCGTCATCAATGATTGCGTTTTACCCTCAGACTGCTCTATTCTAGGGGTGAGATTCAATATACTGGCAAACTTGCTCATAGATTGATTGACACTATCTTTTACTAATTTCAGAACATCATCAAACTTTGGCTCGATACCTTCATCCTCCATACGGGAGCTTATCTTCACCCACTTCCTTTGCAGTCGAGTAGGTAGGCGTCTTGCTATTACTTCTAGTATAAAACTCGAGTTGCGGTCACTCGTGCGATTCATCGAAATCATTCCATTCTTGTAAATTAGCAAATTATCTAAAAACTCAGATGGTGCCTTGGAGTCATCCTGTAATTGACCACCATTACCCTTAACAGCGTCGAGTAATTTCCCTGCAATCATCGAAGGTCTTCCAAACCTTTGACGTAATATGCTCATAGCCTCGTAGTAGCCCTCTTTTGGCTTCATAAACTTACAGCACTGTATAGCCCTTGCAGCATCTCCAGTGCAATATCTCATCAAATACATTAACTTCAATTCATCATTTAATAAAAAACCACTCAACATGATCTCAAACTCCTTTACAAATTCTAAATAATCAGCCGGGTTTCCATCAAAACATCGTGGTTCAAATTTAGGGAGTTTGATGTTCCTATTATCCCTGAACGGCGAAACAGTAACATCAACCATGTCATGCTTAACATCAGACACATCGTTACAAGTAACAGACAAGTCACAATGACTTACTTTCCTGTTTGCATCCAAGACGCTCTGTCCCTTCTTTGACCCAGGCATTGTTAAACTTGACCCAATTCCAAAAACGTTCTAGATATTGCTTGTTCAAAGAGGACTTGACCGGCACCAGGAGAGATGAACGGCGACTATCCAAACTGTCACCAACGTTCCAACACCGTCGAAAACTGACTTCACCGTCAGAAACTGTCAGTCACGTCTCGTAAACCGTTAATGCCCAGCTCTTGCTACGCTCGGGCTCACGCTGTTCCTTGAAGTTTCTCAGAAACACTTAGTAATAACGGACGGAAAAACCAAAACACCAATTGGTGACTCGAGGATTCTTTATTGTTACACCAACATATAAAAAATATTTCTACTAAGGTCTGTGAACAAATATTACAATAATGAATCACAATATTACTTCTGACGGTTTATTGCTGACTTCTTTCTGAACGGCGACCAATGAGACGATGATTGTCGTATTGATGCCTCCGCGAAAATTGGGGAAGTTGGTTTGAGCAAACAACCATGAATTGATCGTTCAATCTTCAACTACATTGACACATATAATGTATATTTATGTATACAGCATCAACATAAAAATCAGCTGTAGACTGCAATACATTTATCTGCATGAGGTATTACTTTGTATTGACAGAATCATTGTATTTATAGTGTATGCTAATATGCAGAATTATCTCTTGTAACTTCATGTTGTGCTAGTTCTTACATGCACTTTATTTTTTCAGGTATACGGAGGTTGTCGAATATGAAATCAGCGGAAACATCATTCGATCAAACTAACGTTAATACAAGATTTTGAGCGAACAATTGTTTTCGATAACTTCTTCTTCAGGCTCTACAGTTATAAATCCATGAATAATAGAGTACATATAGCCAATAAAGGCAAATGAAAATAATATCAGAAACTGTATTGGGGTGCATGTGTAAGTTGAGGTGATAGTCCATTAGTTAGCATAGTCAATTAAATGTGTATAGGGTGTTTAGTCAGAAAAATGTGATGAAGTGTGAATGAACAATTAGGTGATATAGTGTAGTTTTATAGTTAACAGAATACAAGTGTCCTTGGGGTGAGAAAATGCGATAACCACAAAATACATGTAAACACACGTTAAAAAATGAGGCACTGGATATGAGGGCTGACCGATAATGTCTAATGATAAAATAAAGGGGCTAAGTTGTAAATTGTAATAAAATGCTACAGAATTGGTAGGTTTAGTATAAAATCATAAAGGTTGACAAAGTAAGGGTAACAATGAGGTGAAATAAACTGGGTGGAGAAATGGACATTATCGGTCATTAGACATTATCGGTCAGCCCTCATATCCAGTGCCTCATTTTTTAACGTGTGTTTACATGTATTTTGTGGTTATCGCATTTTCTCACCCCAAGGACACTTGTATTCTGTTAACTATAAAACTACACTATATCACCTAATTGTTCATTCACACTTCATCACATTTTTCTGACTAAACACCCTATACACATTTAATTGACTATGCTAACTAATGGACTATCACCTCAACTTACACATGCACCCCAATACAGTTTCTGATATTATTTTCATTTGCCTTTATTGGCTATATGTACTCTATTATTCATGGATTTATAACTGTAGAGCCTGAAGAAGAAGTTATCGAAAACAATTGTTCGCTCAAAATCTTGTTTTGATTTCAATATGGGGATTTTTCATTAACGTTAATACCCTTCATCAGAATTTTCTTTTGTAAATTCATCAAATGTTTAATATACTCTTGATTTGTAATTCCTCTGGACTTTTTCAATTAGTTGCTATACTATGTGCTTTTGTAGTAGGTGAACTAGGAATAATAAACGCTAAGCTTAGTTAGTAGGATGGGGATTTACCGTAGTATTATGAGACTGTTACTTTAGTTATTAATAGGATTGCGTGTCTGTTTCTACACAATAGCACATTGTAAAAAGTAAGTAGGATTTAGCAAGTTGAATAATAACTCTGTACTGTTCGGTACTCTATAGTTGCCTTATCTAGCCAGTTGAATATCTGTATACTGTTAAACGCCAAGTATGTAGTACAATTAAATGTAGTAACTTAGGCTTGATAGCTACTTCACTAGTCTGTTAATATGCAGTGACATCGTCAAATAGACTGTTCACTTGACAATGAGCTAAGAAACAATTTTTATTTATT